CCCCTAATAACACCCTCTTCCACCTCCACCCACCTCCTCTAGCTCCGCAACCAGACTCACCCTCGGCAGCAGCCACCCTCCAGTCTGAACTGCGCCCTTTGCTAACCCAATCTGAGACCCCTGCAGGCGACGGCTCTCAACCTACGGGGTTCCCCTGGACGTTCTACGTCAGTGCTCTCGGCCAGCTGGCTAGTCAGCTGATTCCTGCCGCGGCGTGCCGGGACGCCCATTAGCCGCGCTGAACTAAACCCATTAACTCCCACGGCCCGATAACGCCTCTGTCCCTCTGCGACCACCACCACCACCCCCATCGCGAAAACACCGCGACCAAACGGACGGTGGACACCTTGCGTCGCGGATTGACAGACCATGAGGGTGGCTTACGGGAGGGATTGATGATCGGAGACATGGGACTCGTTTCGAACGATCACCCCAATGCTCTGAGAGGCTGCGACTAGGAAGACTCCTCTGGGATGAATGTTTTCACTTCTATTGAGCCATTCGAGGCTGTCTCGGACCTGGATGGTCAGTATCCTGGAATCTGCAATCATTCAAAGCTTTTTCGGAGGACCCTATTTGTTCAGTTTGGAGTCATCGTGTTCGATTCCTCTTGAGGGTCTGCAAGTAGTTTGGGACTTGGATGATCTCTTGTTGTGCAACTACCACTAAAGTGATCCTCTATTTTTCTTATACAAAATAGGAAGTTTCAAGCGACCTTTCGCAATTATCCCGTATATTGCCTCTTTCGGAAACGAAATTCGCTTGGCACCGTGCTACATTTTCATTTCCTCGACAAAGGTAGCATTATTAACAATACTCCGGCACTTAGTTGCCAGTATTATCTCGATCTTCAGCGGGATCACGACCCGGCCAGGCTGAAAATGCGGCTCGCCGCGAGTAAAAAGTTTTTCATTCAACGGATTAGTTCCGTATCGGGTGGGGTACGATCTGTCACGATCCTTCGCGGGCGAGGGTGCGGAGAGGGGCGGGACGGAGAGGAAAAAAATTCCGAGCCGCCGGTGCGGGCCGTGCGACGAATTAATTAGCTCGATCGTGGCGGGCAGCACGTCTTGAATGAAAGAGCAAACGGCGCGTTGCGCTCCACGCGAGCCGGTTTCGGATTATTGCGCGCGCGCTTCGTACGTGCCCCGCGCGAAATTACGTCCTCCGACGCGTCTCGATTCTGTTTTCTGTGTCGATCGGCCCGCTAAAGTCTCCTCGACTTCTTCAGGCTGTGTCTACCTTGTGACAGAAGAACTTAGACAGGTACCATGAAAACTCCAATTTTTGTTTCTTAAGCTCGATAGACGTTGCTGTGGGACCTCGACACAATTATTATGTATATTCGAGTAGAATTTTTATATATATTCCTTTATTTCCAAAATTTGTTTAACATTGTTATGTGTACAAGTCTACTTCTTATGTCTAACTCCAATTTTTTCGTATCAGTTGTAGATAATATAACCTTTCACAAGCTTTCCCAAAGAATTGTTCGATGTCACTTCGACCGAAAAATACCGTGATGTTCCGATTAATTAATAATCACGCCGGTATATTAATAATCATCCGTCGTTATACGTATAAATAAATCCATGATCTGTCCTTTCTTCGTACACGCTTTCGATACGTTGAATTAAAAACAGTCCATCAATTATAGGCGACGCTTCTTGACCTTCGATTTACGAGAAGAGACCACGTGGCAACGTAACAGCCTGTTTTTTGTTCTTCTTAGCTTTTCCTTCGAGTGACATAGGTGTATGACGTCACAGAAAAAGGAAAAAAAAAAGGAACGTGAATTTCCGCGATTGTCCGCAATCTAGATGAATCAAAGCACGAACGGGATGAGAAATTTGTCGAGCGCGTCCCTGGTGAACCGTGGACGACAGTAGGTTACCCTTGCAACCCTTGAGCCCCACGACCCTTCCCTGGTAAATTCACCCTGCTGTGTGCACACACACACACATACACGAAGGGGTAGTGACGTGTCGTCGGGTCCCACGACGGCGATTCTCCGGAGACTGAAAAGGCCAAGTTCTTTCTGGCACGATCGATCTTCCCGATGACATTCACCGTTCTCGTGTTAGCCGTCGCAAAATCTAGCCGATCTACGCCGTTTCCGAATTGGATTTAACTGCTCTAATAACTCGGGGAAAGTCTCCAAGCAATCCCTGTATAACAGAAAATTCAATGGAAAATTATAGGTAAAAGTGTAAGTAAAACTATAAATGAAACTGTTATCAGTTAGGGTAACGATAGTTTTTGGTAAACCTAACATTCGTGCAATGCTATTGCAGCAAATCATCGATGATTTACTGTATTCCTAATCTCTCGCCTTTCTGTCCAGTTTCTTCAGGAATATTTCTTTTAAACTTTATCGAGAGTCACCTGAAAGCATATTTCAGTTCGAAGGAATTCATTCTGCTGTCATCGTTCTACTATTAAAATTTAATCTGGTATCAACCCTTACGCGTTTCCATCCCCTTACTCGTTCACAAAATAGATAGGTCTCTAAACTTCTTCACCCAAACTTTTGCATCGGTTTATGAATTATTTGATCGCGACGCGTCGTCGGCACGTGTACGTTTCGCGTTGCGAACGCGCAACAGCTAATAGAGCGGACGCTGATATTAAAATCGATAACGATTTCTGATGAACGGTGGCGACGTTGTCAGCGGACCGCAGCCGAGACAGTCGAACGTTAATATTTTGATGCCGTCGATCAATTGTCCGTGTTACGGGGGCACATGTTACAGGTAGGGATAAACCGATACCGTCAAGGTATCGATACTTTTACTCATAATTTGTATCGAAAGAAACTATCGATATCTACTTAGTATCGAAAGCATCGATACCTACTTGTATCGAAGGGAAATGAATAGAAAATTCTTTTTTAGTAGTATGATATATTTTAACCAGAATTGAGCAGAATTTTATTCGAATAACATTAAACAATTGTTTGCCAAATGTCGACTCATTCAGGAAGACGTATTATCTTCTTATTAAAAATTGAAATTCCTACCTTTCAACGATTTTAAACGACGAACCATTCATTCGTTGGAATTCGAGCATTAATAAAAATTTAACAGAAATTTGAGAAACTGTAATTTCTTTCAAATATATCAAGAATGTTTGTTGATCAAGGACAACAAAACATTGGGTTTTATTATGAATAATACCATTATAATGGGAATTATTATATACAGCTGGCATAAAAGTAAAATAGTTGTCAAATGGTGTTAGACAGTTTCAAAATGTTAAAATGTTCTTGTGAATTATTTATATGTCGTCTCAAATACAAGAAAAATATTTCCTTAATAATTTTTAAATAATTTGGGAATGCAAGGGTTAACAGGTGTTCGATGCACGCGAACAACCGAAAGACATGCACGAATATATTAAATTTGATTTAATGTACGATCACGATATCACGATCCCAGATCGTTGTAATATTACGGTACTCGTTACCTGGTATATTCTGGAGAGTTTCAACCGCTTAAAGAATACACAGGTACTGAATGGAACCAAAGGGACCAATAGGGAAGCTCCGAGGCCTAGTTACGCGTTTGCATGACCGCTCGAAGCTTAGTTCGGGTTCAGTCTTCGACGAAGTTTGTGTCGCGCCGCGTCTTCTTTTCCGTCGTGATGCCGGAAGTAAAGAAGGCTGGTAACCCGGTGAAAGTCGTGTTGGTTCTCATGTATCGGTTCGACGTGTCTCCTCGTGAATTGTGCCGCGTCGTAACAACGTATTTCCTCGTGGATTCGTGGCCGCCTCCGGGGGACGGTTTACGAAAGTAACCGGTACAGTACATGCATACGGTGACCATACGTCCTTTATTTAAGAGGATAATCCTTTATTTCATTGATCTGCCCTTTAGATTTAAATTTGTTTGTTTTTTTTTCTAAAATACCCATTTTGTTCTTTATTTTGTGAATTGAAACGGTAAATCGAACATTAGCACACAGCACGTGACCCCATAATATGTGTTACATACAGGGTGAGTCAATAAGAAAACGTTTTAATGAATTATGTAGCATTTTAACCTGTTAACGAAATATTTCGTCATACCAAGAAGACAGCTCCAATGGGGATGACGACTTTTTTCGTCATGGAAATTTTTAATTTGATTCTTACACATTAAAACCTAGCGTGGCCTTATGGGAAAATATTTGGTTAACAGCGTAAGGGATGCATCAAGTACGTATCCACTTGTTGCGTATCATCGTATCGTATCACCGTACGATACATTGTTATACGCAATCGATGCAACGCTTGCCTATCCACATTTATACACAAAGGTGATACGATACAAGGATATGGAACAAGCGGATACGCACATTAACCTTCTGTCACATTTCTGTAAGAACAATGTAACGTCACGCGTATCGCCGTGTGAAGGAGACCGTAGCAAGTCGGTGGTCATCTTGAACTTGCGAAATTTCAAACAATTTCTCATCTGCCTTTAATTTTTTATTTTTCATTTTAATTTGTTTATTGTCGCATCAACCTCTCGTGGGTCATTAACGACTTAACAATACTTCCTTGGTGGTTACATACATTGTGATAAATGCACAAATATATTTCAATGTGATAAATTATTATTAGAACTATATTTCAGTAATTATCGCTTACAGTCAAGTTTTGTGTTATAATAGACTACATTATAGTATATCATTTCAGTCCGTTATTGTTGTAGTTTGCTTTGGTCTTTTTTGTTAACTTGATAGTGGACAGAATCATTATTACTTACGTACTTCTATTTTTCTAAATTCGAGTTTAGATATACGGTGTAGAAAATTGATTTCTTTTAGGAAGGTTAAAGTGTTGCCCTTTAGTTTTGCTCGAAAAACAAAAAAAAGTATGGTCACCGTAGGCATTCCCCGAGAAACCTCCCCCTCTCAGGCCCCCGAACGATCTCTACCATGCATGCAACACGCGACCCACACCAGAGAACACACTGTACACAGCACACCTAACATGACCGATCGGTCTGATCTGACAGATCGTTGCCTGTCCCCAGGAGGCACACTCCGTACTTTGGCCAGCCGGACTACAGGCTCTACGAGCTCAACAAAAGGTTACAGCAACGCACCGAGGTGAGTACCATCGTCTTCGTTCTTTATATTCGATTTTTTCTTGATTTTCTTGAAATACACGGGAAATTAAAAAGGTTATCTGCACACCTTTCGTCTTTTACACTACATTTATCGATTTATTAACCAGTGAATTTACAGTTACGTAAATCCTATAGAGGTAACATACAATTTACCTGTACATAGACCTGGCTTACAATAAAGAACAGATTTAATACTAGAATAAAAATAAAATATAACTGATACAGGATCTGAAAAAGTAATATGCATATTCACTACTCAACGTGAAAATATTATAGAATAGAAATTAGCTCACAGTTTATAACTGTAAGATTATAAACCTGAACCAATATTCTTTACAAATATGCAAATCTTATGTCTAAATATTTATACTAGTAATATAATCTTGTTCAATGTTTTACTTTTATTTTTATAGTGTTTTTGTTGTTTGATAATACTAGGAATTCATCTGGTAAATTATTAAAAGAAATTATTACGTAACTATTTTTGTTACTAATAGTCTTTATAAATTTCGGTAATGCAGTACTACTTTATAAAATATTTAATATTCAGTGCCGAGAACCCCTCGGACACTCATCGAAGATTTACTGTAAGCGTCTACTATAGTAGACAAATACACTCAGCAGGTTAAATTGATCAATTCGAAATACGAGATACCAACTAATATCCACTATTTATACAGTGTAAATATCATGTAACGAAAAAAGAAACTAAAAGTGGAAATTGTCGAAAAATGTGAAGTTAATTGGATCGTTTTTTGATTGTATTATGATTATTCCACGCAGAAATAAACGGTGAAGACACCAGTTTCCAAGAATTTCGAACGTTCCCCCGTAAAAGCGTCGCGTCGTACGAGAAAATGACAAAACAAGCTTTTCGGTTTATCGCCTCGGGATACCAGCGCGACCGAAGTTCATTAATAGGCTTGGAAAATTGTCTCTGCACAGCCTCATCGATCGCTGAATCCATCCGAACGGAAGTGATTAAGCCCCGGGACGGTCGTTTGATTCCGTGCATTATAAAATCATCTGGCCCATATACCGCGGGTCCGAATAAACCGGCCGTCCTTTCAGAGATTCCTGATAACCACGAGATAAGATATAATCCTTGGGAACGGATTATCGTACGTGCACGTGTCGTCTCCCTCGGACTATTGAGTTTTCCATCGATTTCAGTCGACTATGGGGGGATTAATAGATTCTTTCCGCGGGCACGATTTCCTACGACTTTCGAGTACGTATATCGGAACTACGTTCTTGATTTCACGGCCGATAGCTGAGCAAAAATTGTCGAGCTTCTGGGGTAAACATTCCAAATCTTCTATCTCGTGTGGTGTTTTCTCTCGAATCGATTAACGGAGCGAACGGAATCAATATTAACGCGTTTGTCGCGTCAGAAGCCACACGCGAACTCTCTTTCCTTGTTTTTTTTTCTCTCTGTTTCTTGTTTCTTTCGTTCTGGATCCCGAGGAGCCCGTTTATCTTCGGCCAACAGTGATCAATGCGCCATTAGGACAAGCCAGAAGAGAGAGAGAGAGAGAGAGAGAAATAATAGGAACGAGAGAAAAGGAAAAGAGGCTCGGGGTTAATGTGTCTTAATGAGCGTCTGATACCTAAAGCATCACGTTCATTAATCTCCGTGGATCTCTTGATGGACACACAACCGGTCCTCGAGGTTCCGAGATCTCGATAATATCGCGATTCACAATTTGTCACGTGCCCCGGCTGTATCACCATCGAAAGAAAAGATGGTTGACTGCAATTAACCCTAGATCTGGTTGCTTCTTGTTTTTTTTGTGCGTGTTCTTTTTCTTTTCTATCTGTCTCGTCGAGAAGATAATAACGTGTTTCGGTGATGATCGATATGAGAAAGAGATCTTCCTCGATGATTGATCTTGGCATCGTGTATCGATCGAACGGAATTGTAACAGTTTATGAATGAAATAATTGACTCGGGCTTGAGAGAACCCTGTAGTATCTCGATGTATGTATTCTGTCGTCTTTCGCGAATCACTCTGTCTAAGTAATGTTATATCTTATTCCGAATCGACTTTCGAGACCGTTGACCGCCAATGGCCATGGAGACTCTGGTGGTCCACGCATGATTGCATGTCTCACAAGGGAAGGCACGGAAGTGTCCCCGTCCGATTTTGATGAAACTTCGTATGTTTGTTAAGCAGTTAAAAATAAGGGATACGTATTTTTTTTTTATTGGCTGAGACGCGACTTTAAGGGGTGAAACCACCCCGCGATGTTTCTATCCGAAATTTTTTTATTATAAACAAATTATATTTTGGACAATTTGTTAGCACCATATTATTCTACATAAAAAACCGCAAACTTCGTCTATTAGAAGTTTTCATATATCTCCTTTGCTTTTCGAGATAGTACTTTCGGGTCGAAACTGTGAGGGGTGGTTTCACCCCTTAAAGTCGCGTCTCAGCCGATAAAAAAAAATACGTATCCCTTATTTTTGGATGCTTAACAGACATACGAAGTTTCATCAAAATCGGAGGGGAACACTTCCGTGCCTTCTCTTGTTAGAGGGATCGATTCGTTAAAATAAAAAATTCTTAGGGAAAATTACACTTATCAATTTTATTTAATTATCCAGTCTTTCGAATTTGTCACCAATCACCTTAAGTGAGTCGAAATTGGGACATTTACCTTATTGCCCAAATAATTGAAATTATTTTCATTCTTTATTTTCATCGGTCGCGCATACTTCTTCTCTAGCACGATAACCCACCCCACGAACACTCTCCCACCCCTATACTATCGTACCCACCCTTTCGACCGGCGTTGCTCAGTCTCGGTCACTCGTCGTCGTTCGCGAACGTGGGGTTGGCGTGTCCCTCGCTCATAAATCATCTTTCTCTCGCGGTTATCGTCGGATCTTCGACCTGTGTCAGCGTACGTGTGCACGACAGTTCACCGCTCTGTTTCTTCTTCCGTCCAGGCCCCTTGCGAACCAGGTTCACTTCTCGAACAGCCCTTTTGTGAGTCTAGTCTTCCTCTATCTCGATACACTTCGAATCATCGTCCCTTCGAATGAAAAATTTCCCTGTTTCGATACATCGAAAAACCATTCTTTGGCCTTCCTTTTCCCTTTTTCCCTCGACCGTATAGAATTTCATGGGAAAGAAGAACGACCGAGCATCGAAAGGATCGCGCCTAGTATTCTCTCGACGAACAGATCCGTTACCAAACAGTCACGAAAGACGCTCGAGCAGCGAAGTGTACGCCACTGCGAAGTTTCCCGTAGTTTCTGCCCACCACAGTTTGGGGATCATGGGGGGGGGGTGCCAAGGGATTGGTTTGCTCGGTGCAAGAACGAATGAGCAACCCCCTCAGTTTGACAGAAAGAGAAGCGTTACGTGGTAAAGTCGGCCGGAAGAGGGGGTTGCAAGGAACGCGACGCGAATTAAAATTAGGAACGCTCTCGGTTGTCTTTTGTTTTCCAAAATTTAGATCCCAGGTACAGTTTACCCCCACCAAAAGTATTCAACAAAAAAAGAAAAGAAATAGGTTCTGTTTTGTTTCCCTTCCGTTTTATTTTCCTGTTTCCTCGTACGATCAGTGTGGCCTCTAGAAATTCTTCGAGTATGATGTCTCGAATTTTTTCCGAATTCTAATAAGGATCATATTTGTATAATTCGATATAAGTTCGAGTCCTGGCGAGGTGGAATCAGTCGGTATATCGTCTGTCATCCCTGGTACGTCTCCACGTATTAATTCTAATTCTCTCTGTCGCGCGAGCTACGATTCGATTTCCGCTATAAGCTTCTTCCGCGCTTATAGCTCCGTAAATTCGGGACAATACATTTGGAAAATCGATTCGTGCTTCCGTGGAATCCACCGAGCCAGTGGTTTCTGTCCTCGCACCGCTTCTTTCGTAAAACTCTACGATCAAGTTCCTTTCGCGGTGTATTATTAACCCTTTAACGATTCTGTCATCTTCCAAGAAACAGAAAGACCATTTAGCATATCTTTAGGCTGTTAAATAAGAGGGAAAATTAATAATTTTTTTTGTATGTGCTGAAAAACTGTTTATTAAAATTCAACATATAAATCTTATTATATGTTACTTCCTTAGTAATTATGGCAAAATTGAAGAGCCATTTCTATCGACAGATATGTAGCTGAATTTTTCAGAAATTACTAAATAAATAACATGTAATAAGATGTATATGTTGAATGATTAATAAACAATAACTCTGCATATACAAAAAAATACTATTCAGCATAGACGACGGTCGTTTGTATTTTCAGTGCAAACTACAAGCCTTTTATATTACTCTTTGTTACATTTTTTTTTTTTTGTGTCAAATAAAACGCACGGAATGATTTGTCCGTAATTTGTCAGCGAAAACCAAGGCTCTTTAACTAATACCAAATCGAATGATCGCGATAGCAAATCGAGACTGTAATTAAATAGCATGGTTCTATATTTTTCAGTGGATCCCATACACGACTGGATTGCGAGTCGATTGATCGTTTAATTGTTTGTCGAAAAAATTTATTCGTTCGTTTCGAGGCTAATGCACACGTGTCCTCTACTAAACGATCGTTGCAATTTTAACGGTTTTTTACGCGGAACCTTGAAACCCGCGCGAACCAATAAACCGAAATATTAAAAAAAATGATAATAAATAAATAAAATGGGATTTTACGTTTTCCAATCGTTCGTGAAACAGTTCCTCATAGACACGTGATCGGCTCAGTTTTGCATGTTCCACGTGACTTATAGTCGAATCTGGTCACATTAATTTGTAGGGTCGCGCTTTGACGAATGCGAAACACCCTATCTGACGTTAGGGACACGCCGCTGGTTCCTCATCGTGACAGATGACATCTCATTTAGCGTCTCCTGTTCCCGTGGCCTGTCAGGTCGTTCCATTTCCCCATAATTTTTCCGTTTTCGACGAAATATAAGCGCATAAAAGTGAACTGACCGCTTCGCCGATTCAGCAAACCCCAACT